ATATATATATATATATATACATTTTAGAAAGAAATACAGCTTTGATACAATAATGGAGCTCTTCGAATTCCTCTCTTCTTTGATATTTGCTCTTCGATTTTATTTGAATTCAACTTTGATACCGGCGGTGGCTTTGTATCGACTGCAAACATTTAAAAATCTGAACGTTGTGGGAGAAATGAACGTTGCCAATGGTTGGCAACGACTATATGCCATATATTTTCGAATTCCTCTCTTCTTTGATATTTACTCTTCGATTTTCTTTAAATTCAACTTTGATACCGGCGGTGGCTTTGTACCGGCTGCAAACATTTAAAAATTCGAACGTTGTGGGAGAAATGAACGTTCCCAATTGCCTTTCACACCTTCAACCGAAATTCTTTCCGATTCCGAACACGAAGAACAATAACAACAACCTCAACAAAAAGAAAAGAAAAGGAAGGCCGATCCGAGAAGATGGACACAAAAGGAAGAAACCAAATTAGCAAAGGAGTGGGTCGACATATCCGAAGATGGTGGCATGGGAAAGGGTCAAATTGTGATCAATTTTACTTACGTATTACAGAGCGGTTTTGTCAGGGAATGGGTCGAGATCCATATTGTCGGACCTCCGACCAATGTAACTTGAAATGAAATCTTGTTAACAGACTCTTATCATGTTGGAATAGAATTTACACAAACTTTGAAAAGCAATAAGCTAGCGGAGAAAGTGAAGCGAGTTTCTTGAAAAAAATGCATGCTACATTCCAAGATGATATGCTTAAGCCTTTTAAGTTTATTCATGTGTGAGAAGTTGGCAAACAAAAAGGATTAGATGAAGGGAACTTGCAACACATGAAGAAATTGCTAATCCACCAAAAAGAAGCCGAACATCTTCATATTCGAGCACACAACAAGTGTCATCGGATGGTCACATAGGTGTTAATCTTAATGATGATACGACATCGAAGAAATATGCTTGCCTCCTCCTCCAATGGGAAGGGACAAAACAAAAGGTCGAGCGAGAGGAAAAAGGAAAGCGACATCTTCAAATTCGTTGGTCGGAACCGAGCGGTCAACTAGATCAGATGAAATGATGGCACAAATGACACAATTGAATACAACTTTGGAGAAACATATGACTGGAAACGGTCTGACTCACGGAATATCCGTTGTTAATGCAAGATGTGAGACACCTCGACCCCGAAGAAGCGGCAAAAATGGTGAATGGGTTGATTCGCGAAAAATATAATCTAAAATGTAATTGAAATTTCGATGTTATGTTATTTTTCTAGGTTTTTTAATTTTTGACTTCATGTTTTATTTTTATTTTTTTAGGTTTTTAATGTAATTTTTTATTTCATGTTATTTTTAACTTTTAGGATTTCTAAAATGTAATTTTTAATTTTACTATTGTTTTAAAAAAAAATCTTATTTTTTTATTGAAATTAAAAAAAAATTCATAAATACCACACCCTAGTTCGTAAAAAATATAAAAACTAAAAAAATTGAGATGGTGCTGCGTGACATTGTTTTACCATCGGCAAAAATTGCACCACGCCTTACCAAACTAACAAACACCAACATAAGAAAGAGAGCCCAAGTTCAGGCTCAAATACATCTATCTTCGTCTTGTTCGGATTTTTTCATCACGACCTCAATCTCAGGTTTGGAACCCTAAAACATCTATCTTCATCGTGTTCGGATTTTTTTCATCGCGACCTCAATCTCCGATTTGGAACCTAAGTGTTCTTCATAATTCAGTGACAGTTGTGGCATGCTCGTTACTCGTAACTCTTCAAATGGCAATTGCTGTTTTTCAAGGTTTCGCTTGTAGAAGCCAAGTATCATTCCATATCCCTCTTATTAACCGTGTTCACAAGGTATCTTATCATTTGCACAATTTTAGTTCGATTCTCGAGATCTGAGGGAATTTCAGAATTTTTTTTCCGTGCTTATTTAGAGGTTAACGTAGTCGGCTATATCGTCGTAAGTCGAACCCTTGAGGCTCTGTGGGCATTTTAGACTACAGTATGTAAACAGGAGTCACAATGGAACAATTTTTTTCTTTCTCCCCAACCTCTAACTGTGGTGAAACAGAATGAGTATATCATTTTGAAGCATCTAAATTCATCAATTAGAATAATCTATTGCTTGAATTGTAGGCAAGACAAAACTGTTCTGTGGCAGCCATTGAATCGCTGGCTGAATCCGTAAGTGTGCATAACGAAGATAATCAGTTTTCAACTGCTAGAATTGTAAAAGGTGCATACTTTTCTCAAATCATCTGAGAAAAATTTACAACATTCTTTATCGTATTTTTCCATTTATCTAAGATTGTTTCTGCGTGATGATAGTAGGACGAGGCAATGATGAATCCAAACCACATGAATGGAAAAAGTTGTGTTCGAAAGAACTTGGAGTCAAGACTTCAAGGATTACAAAGCCTGCAAAATTTGTATTGAATGTGCTTAGAAAAAAAGGTATGTTATGTTTCTTATTTTTATTTGCTTGGTTTGTCTGCTAGCTATTGAACTGGCGTGTTCCTTGTATGCAATTTAGAAGAGATCTGACTTGGTATCAGTTCACACATTATATGCAATGAATTACTGTACCTTAATTGCCTTAAACTTAGTCGAATCCAGCCACAGTGTATCCTGATTAGTTAGGTGAAAATTTGAAATTTGTACTTTTGTTTTGCAATGTATGTAGTGTTGGGGCTTAATGCGTTCAAATCACATGAAATATACGCAGCTGCGTAAACAAAAAAAAAAAAACCCTCCACAGAGGATCATATAGGTTAAACATAAAAATACCTCATAGGATGTAGGGCTGAATTCCTCGGACTACATGCAACAAATTAGCTGTCTTCTACCAGTAGTATCCAGACAGACTAAGGGTAATCACTAGGGATGAGGAAAAAAACTGAAAAAACCAAACAAAATAATTCCTAATTTTTGGTTTTTCGGTCTTGGAAGCGTTAAGGGAAATCGGTTCTTGGGTATAAACCGAGTTGGGACGGAATTTAATGGGTTTTTTCTCGGCATTGTTTATAATTTTTGAATGGCCATATAGTATACGGGCTCGGATTGAACTGGTTGTTTTCCCAGGTTGTTTTGGCTACATTTTAGGCTCAAAAAACTGTTGAATTAGTTAAGAAATAGCTGAGTTACACAGCTCTAAATAGTAGGGGCTATTAGGGCTGTATGTTTTTTCTCAGCATTGTTTATAACTTTTGGACATAACTCCATACAAGCTCCGAATGAGCCAGGTTGTAGCTCTCTTTCTTGGCTACAATTTAGGCTCAAAAACAGTTATTAAATTGGTTAAGAAATAGTTTTGTTACACAACCATAAACATGGGCTGTTAAGGCTGTTGGTTTTTTTTTTTTTATTCCATTATAATGGTAAATTAACTCACTGGATAATGTGAAAATGCGAAAAACAGCAATTTACTTTAGAAGTTGGGTTCTTTGTGGTTTTGAAAGCGGAAGCGAACCGGTATTTTCGGTTCCCATATTTGCTCATTTACGGTTTTCAGTTCCTGGAGATTAAGTATTAATTTGGGGGATTATTAACAGTTTGAAATACGTCATCTTTATTCTTTAACTTCAATTCTAAACATGTCACTGCGACTCGTATTTTGCTTCTATATCTTTACTCAAGAGTTGTTGCATGATTCTTTTCATTGTAGGATATGAGGTATACCTGGTAGGAGGTTGTGTACGGGATCTTATATTAAACAGAACTCCTAAAGATTTTGACATCTTGACATCTGCTGAACTTAAAGAGGTTTCTTTTTTCAACTCTTTCTCTAAGCGGAATACATATTACCTTTCATCTTGTCCATCAAACACTTCAGATTGGAATCAAATGAGTTGCTTTTTTACATGGTTTTCATCTTCCAATGGCTGTTTCAGTACTCATCAAACTTTAATGTTAGCATTAACATAATTCATGAGGTTGCCAAATTTATCAGATTCCATGTTTGATGGATTTTCCATTCATTGGGGGTGGTGGAAGGAATTCAATTCCATCATTCATCTTTGATAAAACCTGAAAATGCCATCATTATATATATATAATTCCATCCCATTTCCTACGAACCAAACACGTGACGTGACGTGACATATTACGGTTGACATATATAGAAGATTCCGATTCTTTGACAAATTCCATTTCTTACATACAAATACATTTTACGAACCAAAAGATTCTGAAGTAATCCATTTAATGGTGAAGAAAATGATTTTTTATAAGTTATAAGCATAAAATGTTGACATGCATAAATTGGAGACTCTTGGTTCCTTCCTTGCATGCAGGTAATGAGAGCATTTCCCCACTGTGAAATAGTTGGAAGGCGATTTCCTATATGCCATGTACACGTAGATGATGCCATTGTGGAGGTTAGTGGAAAAGAATGAAGTTTTTAATAAATACTAATAATTTTATCTATAAAGTTGCATGCCTAATGTGGGGCCGGGCCGGGGCTTCACAGGTTTCAAGTTTCAGCACAACTGGAAGGAGGTCAAAATTTAGCTTGAGAAAACCAAAAGGCTGTAATGAAAGTGATTTTATTCGCTGGAGAAATTGTGTGCAGAGGGATTTCACTATCAATGGGTAATAAGAATAAGACTTTCCCTACCCTATCCTACCTACCACATAAACACATAAGCATGCCTTGTATAATTTTATTTTATTTTATGCATCCATAGATATCTTACTACACACAATACAGGTTGATGTTTGACCCATTTGCGAGGATCGTATATGATTATATTGGTGGAATGGAAGATATTCAAAAGGCTAAAGTGTGCATTTAAGTGTGTGTTTGGTTTGCGGATTCCTAAAGGAATTGGAATCTCGATTTTCATTCTGTGGTGTTGTGTGTTTGGTAGTGATAGAGCCTTGAATCTAAAACTGATGGAAATAACTTGAGAGAGAAATGATAAAATAAAGAGAAAACAAGCTCTACTTATACCCTCCACGATTCAAGTGTAATAATACCTGCTGCAGAGATGGTATCTAAAAAACATCAATGACACAAGGACAATTTTCCCACTTGAATGCTAATTGGTTGCACTGCAATATTTGAGAGTTTGTGACCATTTTTTACCCTTACGTGCCCTTCTTTGATAGACCCGCATAGCATATTCTGAGGCTTATCAGGTTGGTTTGGTTTGGTTGAATTCCTTCAAAATCCATGTTTGATAGATTTAATCGTTCCCTGGTAAGAATTGAAAAAATCAAATTATCCTCCTCATAAACAATCTTCCCTTTTCAATTGTATGTGTCTGTGATTGAGTACCATACCAAACACATGACATGACAGTGACAGTGACAGTGACGGATTCCAATTCCTTCCAAAACATTCTGCAAACCAAACGAAACGAAACCACCCCTAAGCTGTTAACAAATGTCCATAATAATAATAATAATAATAATAATAATAATAATAATAATAATAATAA